TCGAAAATCGATATAACAAAGAAAAAATTTTTCTTTATTTTTGTTTATAGGCAAAATAGAATTCTTACTTCTTTTTTCTAACGTCAGGTAAAGATCGATTTAATGGTATCCTATCACTAACCATCAAATTAAATCGATTAATCTGGTATAATTGCTGCATCTTATAAAAATCTTTTGGATGTATTATTACAGGTTCTCCATTTTTACCTTCAAATGGCCGTGGGTCAAACAAATTTTTATTTATAATATCTGTAAAGAAAAATAATATATATTTCTCTCTCTTAGAAAATCGTACAATATTTCTAATATAATTACATCTATTACCTTTCGTGATGTTTGGAATTTTTAAGGAATCTACAGAATCTCCTATGTAATGACCGATTACTACATGAATTCCTCGACGATCGATGTAATCTTTTTGATTTCCATGTGACCTATAATATAATAATTCAAATCATTCCGAATTCAAAACCGCATCTTTGAATTGGTTTCAATAAATTAACTAAAAATTTATTTACCTTATTGAGATGAAGTCATCTTGCCGCTCGGCGCTATTGCCTTGGCTCCTGGACCAAATCAAAAATACGCTTACGAGTATAATAATCGAGAAAACAATCGTCGCCGGACGGCGAGGTCGTCTCAATCTGAACCACATCGTGTTACTCGTTAACTCATGATATCAAATGCATTCATTTCCTCTACGCGTGTCAGCAAAAAGTCTATTCATGCATTGATCAGTTTTGGGAAGTCTTACTTCATTTTTCTTCATTTAATCTGCCTCAAATTATCTCAACAAATCCAGCTTCTGTTATCACAGATTCCTCGTGAACAGCAGGTCGGGTCATTGCAACAAAAAAGGAAGAGTCCAAGAATTTCTTGCAAGAGTAAACTCTGGAAGAAGGATCAATTGTTACTGCTTTGACTCCAATACTCATAATTTTCGAAATTTCTCTTGTCTCATATTTATGTATATTTTTTAAACTATTTTTATATTAAAAAGGTATAAATTGTATATATCTTATATTTTAATACAATACAAACAAATAATAAAAGTTTTTTAGTTCAATATAACTATTAAAAAAAAGCAACTACAAAATAATTAAATTCCATTATAGCAATACTGCAAAGGACATAAATTGAATATTTGAAGATATAATAATTACTTTCTTGAGTTATAAAAATTTAAGCTACAAAAGATTGATATATATTAATTTAAAAATTTAATGATAAACACACACACACACAT